ACTGCAGCACGCCAGGCCTCCCTGTCCATCACCAACTCCCAGAGTTTTACTCAAACTCATGTGCATTCAGTCAGTGATGCCATCAACCATCTCATCCTCTGTTGTCCCCTTCTCCTCCTGCCTTCCATCTTTCCCAGCATCAGGGTCGTTTCCAGTGAGTCAGCTATTTGCATTAAGTGGCCTAAGGATTAGAGTTTCAGCTTCCAGTGAATATTCGGGACTTACTTCCTTTAGGATGCACTGGTTGGATCTCCTTGCAATCCAAGGGACTCTCAAGAGTCTTCTCCACACCATAGTTCAAAAGCATCAATTCTTCTGTACTCAGCTTTCTTTATAGTCCAACTCTCACATCCATACGTGACTATTGGAAAAAGCATAGCTTTGACTAGACGGACCTTTGTTGGCAAAGTAATGTCTCTGCTTTTTAATATGCTGTCTAGGTTGGTCATAACTTTTCTTCCAAGGAGCAAGTGTCTTTTAATTTCATGGCTGTATCACCATCTGCAGTGATTTTGGAGACCCCCAAAATAAAGTCTTATCACTGTTTCCACTATTTCCCAATCTATTTGCCATTAAGTGATGGGACCAGATGCCATGATCTTAGTTTTCTGAATGTTGAGCTTTTAGCCAACTTTTTCACTCTCCTCTTTCAATTTCATCAAGAGGCTCTTTAGTTTTAAAGTTTAGCTAAAAGTTTTAAAGTTAAGTTTAAAGTTTAGTTTTAAAGTTTAACCTACAGAAACAGAGGGTTTCCCTCATAGTTCAGTCGGTAAAGAATCTGCCTGCAATGCAGGAAACCCAGGTTCAATTCCTGGTTGGGAAGATTCCCTGGAGAAGGAAATGGCAACCCACTGCAGTATTCTTGCCTGGAGAATCCCATGGACAGAGGAGCGTGGTGGGCTACAGTCCATGGGGTCACAAGATTCGGACACAACTTGGCAAGTAAACAGGAACAGAGTAGAAAGGTGATTTCCAGGGCTGAGGGGTAGGGGAATAAGGAGAGACTGTTCAGAGGGAACAAACTCGACGCCGAAAGGTTAGTAAATTCTGAGGAAATAATACAAAGCACGGTGACTCCAGTTGGTAGCAGTGCACTGTATAACTGAGATTTACTGAGAGAGACACTGAGAGATTTGCTGAGAGACATACAAAAATAAATACATCCGTAAATACGTGAGGCATCGAATTTGTTAGTTCAGTATTGGGGAACCTCTCACAATGTATGTGTATATCAAATGATTAGGCTGTATACTCAAAATACCTTCATAAATTAGGTGCTTCCCTGGTGTCACAGTGATTAAGAATCTGCCTTGCAATGCAAGGTACACCAGTTCGATCCCTGGCCTGGAAGGATTCCCACCTGCTGTGGGGCACCTGAGCCTGCGTGCTGCAGTTGCTGAAGCCGGTGCGCCCCAGAGCACATGCTCTGCGACAAGAGAGATCCCGGCAATGAGGAGCCTGCGCATCACAGCTACTGAGTAGCCCCGCTCACCACAACCAAAGAAAGCCCACGTGCAGAACAAAGACCCAGCCAGAAACTAAAGAATAAATGTAAAAACAAGTAAATAAATCAGTTTTACCTCAATCAAGCTGGTGGTCAGGTAGGGGAAAGTAAATGCGTAAATAAACTATGTCTAGAAAACAAACTAGTACTCAGCAATAAATGGGAACAAACTGCTGATTCTCGCAACAGTATGGATGAATCTTAAATATGTTTTGCCAAGTACAATAAACCATTTATGTGACATTTTAAGAATGCCAAAACTATTGGAAAGGAAGAGAGACTGGTGGTTCCCAGTAACTGGTCAGGGAGAGGAATTGACTGAAAGAAGGTAACAGCGGGAATTTGGGATTTAGCGAGCTATTCCATTTGGTGTTGTGATGGTGGAATCATGACGCGTTGCGCATTTCCCCCGAACCGTGCATCTCAAGGAGCAGTAGATTTTGTGTCTGTTCATTTCTTAAATATCGGCCACAGTATTTGGAATGCAAGATATAGTTCAGACCACACCAAATTAATTTGTTTTCCAAATGACTTGTGTAACCATTGTTATATATTTATTAGGGTTGAACATATAAATAAATAAGTATATTGTAGATAAGAGAGCCAGGTCTCTCAGTGTTGAAGAAATACAAATAAGCAAAGGGCAAAGGCTGGAATGAATTTTGTCTTGCTGGCTTGGGTTGGAGATATCACTATGTATTCATATGAACTCATGAAAGGGAGGGAGGAAGGGATAGATAGCTGGATGAATGCATATATATATCTTTCATATATTTTTATATGTATATATGCATGTTTTGTACATTTGTGTATATGCATACGTATATATGTATTACACACACATTTCCCTAGGTGTTTCTGTTGAGAGGCCCTAGAGGCAGTGAGCAGCTAGCACCTAGCACCTAGATTTGGTTTCTAAATACCATCCTCCAGTAAACAGGACTGTACTCCTTGGAGAGTGGTTTCTTCCAGGACTGAGACAAGCAAAATACAAGATGGGCTTGAAGGTAGCATCCTGTGGTATCAGAAAGAAAGGATGTACTTGCAAAACAGAAAGGAAAAACGATGAGACATGTTGCTAGGACATGGAAGCCTACTTCATAGGCCATCCAGTGACCAAAGCTGGAAAAACTTGAACAAAGAGTAATTGTGGTGTTTGATTATAATCCAAAGAATAAAATAAATATCTACGTGTCCATACTCACAGAAGAATTCTAGCTAGTAGTGAAGAAGAAATTAGGGAGATAAAAAAATTCACCATTAGATCATCACATAACATTATTGTCATAAGCAAGATCCACAGATGAATGCTAAAATTAGTGGTCAGAAGCTTAAGGAGAATCAGGATGTTTTTGCAGTCACAAGGTATCTCCCCCAAATCACATAAAAAGGAAAATAGTAACTTCACCGTATAGAAACTTGCCCCAAACCACCTTAAGCAAGTAATCCAGGTTCATCCCTAATGATGAAACACGCACTTCCTGACGTGGTATGCTGAGAGGGTGTCACCCATGTTATCCCTTCTCAAGAATGTACAGCCCCAGTCTAATCAGGAGAAGACCTCAAACCTGCAGAACCGCTGACTAGTACTCTACTAGCACTCTTCGTGACTACTACTAGGTCATGAAGGACAAGGGGAAGCCGAGGACCTGGCACTGTCTGGAGGCGACCAAGGAGCCATGACAGCCAAGCGCACTGTGGGGTCATGGGTAGGATCCCGGAAACGGGAAAACATTAGTGAGAAAAAGGTGAGATCTGAATGAAGTCTGAAGTTTACTTTTTAGCATTGCATCATTAGCGTCTTAATTCTGACAGTTTTATTTGGGTTATGTAAGGTGTTACCATTGCAGAGAATTCCACGGGGGTCCAGTGGTTAGAACTCCGTGCTCCCACTGCAGAGGACCTGGGTTCCGTCCCTGGTAAGGGACCTAAGATCCCCGCTGCTGTGTGGTGTGACCAAAGCAAAAAAAAAACAAGTATTAACACTGCGGAAACTGGGTGATGAGCACAAGGGAATTCTGTTATTAACACTGCGGAAACTGGGTGATGAGCACAAGGGAATTCTGTACTATCTTTGCAAACCCAAAACTATTAATAAAAGTTAAATTAAAAGTAAAATACAGTTACCTGAGTCCAGTGTCATTTTCATATATGTCACAATTATTTATAAAATAATCAATGGAGAAAAAAAAATGCTGTTTTTCTCTGATAACCAAACAAGAAATTTTGGTGATTATTAACCTTGTGGTTTATTTTAAATATATTTTGGCAGTGCCTATTTTGGTTGAATTTTTTATCATTAGTTTTTATTTTTCATTGGAGGATCTTTCCTTACCATATTGTGTTAATTTCTGCCGTATGACAGCATGAATCAGCTATACATCCATGCGTTCCTTCGCGAGCCTCCCTCCCACCAGCCCATCCCACCCCTGCAGGTTGTCACGGAGCCCTGCGCTGAGCTCCCCGGGCTATATGGCGGCCTCCCACGAGTGTGTATGTCAGCGCATCCCACCCTCTCCTTCCCCTGCTGTCCGCAAGTCCGCTGTCTACCCCTGCCCTGCAAGGAGGTTTATCAGTACCATTTTTCTAGATTCCATATTTTGGTAGAAATTTTTATTAAAAGATTCAGTATTCAAAGTTTAATAGCAATGAAACCAGAGGTGATTCAGGACATTGAAACAGGTGAAGATGCTCTTATTCTGGTTATGTGTTTTCGAGCAGTGTATCGGAGCCTATTAGCTTTTTCCTCCTCTGCCCCCGCTTTATTAAGTGATTCTGACCGCCTCCTTCATATTTAACATACTTTGTAATGTCAGAGTTAAATTTTCCCTGCTTGAAGGAACGGGGGTTCAGAGGCAGGGCTGAGCAGCTAGGGGCTTCCTCAGTTGGTGAAGGGACGCATGGGAAAGCAGAAGCTGTGAGCTGCCAAAGCACTGTGAGTGGTGCCCCGTCCGAACCCGCTGACAGCTGTACAGAGGTGTTATTAGCAGAGATTACCTGCTTATCTGGCAGACATAGTCTAATACTGTGCACTGGACTTCATCTCTGCCTGTCGTATTCTGTATGCTTGGCACTATACTAGGGCGTGCAGAGATCAAAATCATGGTCTCTGCCCGAGAAGTTCCACTTGTTTTGAAAGCAGACAAACCTGAGGGTTCTGTAGGAGATGGAAAGGCCAGAGGCTTCCAAGCCTTTGCAGCCATATCCTCTCAGCTTCTTCCTCTTTTCCTAGGACTGTACTTTGGCATGTTTATCTGAGTTTTGAGTCTGTTTCCTTACCTGTGGTGTAGGATACTAATAGTCTTCCAAGACTGCCGTGGTCACTAATGCCTGACACACGGGAGTTGCTTAGGGAACTGCAGCTGTGCTTATCATGGACCTTGTCATCAGGACTTACAGGCCATTAGAAAGTATGACCATTTCTTACGCCAGATGACTGTTCAGTGAATATTGTGTAACTCAACCTTTGTGTTCCATCTTTGTTTTATCCTTTTAGAGATGATGAAGAGAAAAAAAAGTCTGTGTCCGAAGGTACCGATGAGAAGGCTAATGGAACACATCCAAAGACCATCAGCCGTATTGGGAGCACTACCAACCCATTCCTGGACATTCCTCACGACCCCAATGCTGCTGTGTACAAAAGCGGGTTCTTGGCTCGGAAGATCCATGCAGATATGGATGGAAAGAAGAGTAAGCGCCATTTGTTGACATTTCCTGTTGCATTTATTTCATCTTTAAGATAAGCTCAAAATTAAAGTGAATTTATTAGAAGCAAAGGAATAAAGAAAAATGATATTTATTTAGAAAAATATTATTGAAATTTGATGAAACCTCTAACCCTAAATCATAAATCCCTTATGTACTTGATCTTCTGCAAATAGAATTTTAGAACTTCAGAACCAGAAGACTCAAAGATTATTCATTTCTAACCTCTATTCATCTATTTATACCTGCCTTCAACAAATAACTTTGAGTATCTGCCATGTGTCAGGCATCAAAAATATAGTAGTATTTAGAAAGGGCAAGGGGCATATCTTGGTGGAGTTCCCATTTCTGGCGGTTGAGGGACAGGTTCAGCTTATAACGCATAGGATAGTAAGTAGCGTGAGGCCCTGGAGACAGCAAGGAGGGACAGACTTGTGACCCAGGCGCACGGAGCGTGGACGTCTGTGGAGGAGGGACAGGTGTGTGTGGGCAACATGTATGTTTCGCCCTGGAAAACGGAAGGAGGCCCACGTGACAGGGTTGTCCGCTGACGCGTGATGGTGGAGGTCCAGCTGGAATGGAGTGTGTCTGTGTCTGGGATGGCCTTTGCAGAGGGTGAAATGGCAGTCATGGCAGACAGTATACTGGGTAGACAGAGGTAGCCGCTGCGTATGCTCAGCATTAGGCTGCTCCTCCAGACGCAGGCGTGCGGCGCTGGGATGCACAGTCCTGCTGCTCCCGTCTACACTGTGCACAGTTTCCTCCATGTGTTAGCATATTCTAGCACGTTCTGCTAGGGTGCCGTCAAGAGAAACGTCGCGATGGTGTAGCTTTGACGCTGGCTCGTGCTGCTTCCCAAGTTCTGTAGGAGTGTCCCCACCACCTTTTCCAGGCCCCCTGTGCACTAGCCCACGAGGCTGCTTCGTTCTCTCTAACAACGTTGTGTCTGTACACCAGTTACAAGTGAAAGCTACGTCTAACAGCTTAGGAAAAAGGGGCAAGGAAACATCTGAAGATGAAGAACTGTCTCCAGGACATTTCCTGCATTTCTTTCTCTTTATTATTTTGCGTATCATATGTATTCTTTTCTTAATAAGGTATAATTGATTTATAGTATTATCTTCAGGTGTATAACATAGTGATTCAAAAATTGTCTAGGTTATACTCCAGTTATAGTTATTATAAAATATTGGCTGTAATTTCCTGTGCTGTACAATGTATCCTTGTAGCTTATTTATTTTATACCTAGTAGTTTTTATCCCTTAATCTCCCACCCCATATTGCTCCTCCCCCATCCTGATCCCCAAGGTAAACACTAGCTGGATCTATATATCTGTGAGTCTGTTTCTTTTTTGTAATATTCAGTCATTTGTTTTTTAGATTCCAGGAATAAGTGGTGAAACATAGTATTTGTCTTTCTCTGCCTTTTTTCACTAGCCTTGATGCCCTCCAGATCCATTCACATTGTTGCAAATGACAGAATTTCATTCTTTTTCATGTCTGAGATTCCATTGTGTGTTGGGGGCAGGGTATATGTATCTCACATCTTCTTTATTTATTTATCAGTTGATGGACACTTAAGTTGCTTCCATATCTTGGCTGGAAAAGTTAGCTGATAGCCTTATAGGAGCTCCTTTGTAAGTAACTCGTTGCTTTTACCTTGATGCTTTTCATATGCTGTCTTTATTTTTTAATTTTTGCCATTTTAATTACAGTGTCAGTGTAGTCCGCTTTGGGTTGATCCTGTTTCAGACTGTGGATTTTCAACCAAGAAGTCTGTTTCCTTTCCCAGGTTGAGGAAGTTTTCAGCTACTATGTATTCAAGTATGTTGTCTTCCATGTTCTCTCTTCTCCTTCTGGTGCCCTAACTGCAATGTCGGTGCACTTGATGTTGCCCCCGGCCATCTCTTAAACTATTCTCATTTCTTTTACTCTTTTTTCTGCTCAGTGGCAGTGATTTCCACTACTCCATCTTCCAGGCCCCTGATCCATTCCTCTGTATCATTTCATCTGATGCCAGTTCCTTCTAGTGTATTTTTCTATATCAGTTGTATTCTTCATCTGTTTAGTTGTTGTTTGTATTTTCTAACTCTTTGTTAGAAAGTCCTAACTTCTCCCTCTGTTGAGTCATTCTTCTCCCGAGTTCTTTGGTCATCTTTACAATTGGTACCTTGAACTCTTTCTCAATTAAATCGTGTATCTCCACTTAGTTCTTCTCCTAGGGTTTCCTCTTGTTCCTATATTTGGAACACATTCTCCTGTCATCTCACTGTGCCTTATTTGCTGGTTTCATTTCTGTGTATCCGATAGCTTGGTAACATTTCCTGCCCTTGGAGAACGACCTTTGGTAGGGGATTTCCTCTGTGGCCCAGCAGCACTCACCAGAGCTCTGGGCTCTAGGGGTGCCTCATCCTAAGACGACTCTGCGTCCTCCCCTCGTGGTGGGCTGACTGCGATGGGCGATCTCGCAGGCGTGGCTGGCCCCTGCGATGGTTGCTTGCCAGGCCCTCCTTGTGCAGACTTGCTGGTCACTGGTTCGTGCGCCTGAGTCACCAGGTGGCTGACTGCCTCACTCCTGGTGAGCCCAGGGTTTATGCTGGCCCAGTGACGGGCAGAGCTAGGCCCTGGGGTCTAACTGCAGGATCCGGGGGTGCCAGAGCTGGAACTGTAGCTCTGTTGTGTGGAACTGGATCCTGGGGCAGCTGGCTAAGGGACCCAGCGTCTCTCAGAGCTGGTGTTGCCCTGGAGGGAGGCAGTTCAAGGCCCAGCTCGTGGGTGGGCTCAGTCTGCAGGCTCCAAGGCTGCAGTTTTCCTTGGGTGTGTCTCTGCCTGCTGGTGGCTGACGCTGGTCCCAGGGCTACAGCAGGCTCACTGGGGAGTGGGGCCGAGGCCCAGGAGATTCTGGGGCTGGTGCCTGTTCACTCTGTGGGGCTGGGTCCTGGGGTCGATGGCTGCAGGGCCCTGGGGCTCCCAGGTCTGGGTCCTCTGCGCTGGCGTGTGCAGCCAGGTCCTGGACCCTCCGGTGGACAGGGCGTGCTCAGGGCCAGCCGTGGGCTCAGGGAGGCCTTGAGGCAGCCTTCTGGTGGGCGGGACTGTGTCCCCACCTAGTTAGCTGCATGGCCTGAGTTCCTGGTTCCTTCAGGTTGGCGGGTGGAGGTGCAGCTGGGTCCCGAGGCTCACAAGTCAAGGGGAGGACCGACGGGGCGCTTGCCAGCCCCGGTGTCCTGAGGAAGAGCGGGCGTCCACAGTGGCTGGCTCCCGTGTGTCCCACCAGGGCTGCAGCTGCCCCGGCCTCTCTGAGAGGCTCTCTGATATCAGCAGGTGGGTCTGACCCTGGATCCTTTCAAACGACTGCTTCAAAGCCTTAGGTATCTCCTTTGCGAACTTCTGGTTGGTTAGGGCAGTTTTAAATGTCACAGGCTTTTTCTTTTTAGCAACATAAGAAGTTCTGCTTGTTACCTGCCTCTGTTTCAGTCTCTGTTTCTGGTCCTGCCTCAGAACCCAAAATAGGTGGGAAAACAGATGGCTCAGGTAATGTGGGGCCAGCTGGGCCCAGTCTCCAGACTTCACGCCTACGCTTGTGTTATCACCCAGGGCTCTTCACTTCTGCCATTGAGACGGGGGTTGCGGGAGGAGCCTTGAAGTTTGAGGCTTTAATCCTCAAGCTCTTCCTAGATATTCCCAATTCAATTTTTCATGGGTTTTAAGATCACGTTAGTATGGACAAGATAATTCAACTTTTTCAGTACAGGAAAGTGCATAATTTCTAATGATAATTAGATAACCAGTTGTGTCCGATTCTTTGCAACCCCAGGCTCCTCTCTCCATGGAATTCTCTAAGCAAAAATACTGGAGCAGGTAGCCATTCCTTTCTCCAGGGAATCTTCCCAACGTAGGGATTGAACGCAGGCCTCCTATGTTGCAGGCAGATTCTTTTACCAGCTGAGCCACCAGGAAAGCCCAGTGATAATTTATATATACTAAAGTTTATCAAGAAGCAACAGTTAGAACTGGACATGGAACAACAGACTGGCTACAAATCAGAAAAGGAGTACGTCAAGGCTGTATATTGTCACCCTGCTTATTTAACTTATGTGCAGAGTACATCATGAGAAACGCTGGGCTGGAGGAAGCACAAGCTGGAATCAAGATTGCCGGGGAAAATATCAATAACTTCAGATGTGCAGATGACACCACCCTAAAGAGCCTCTTGATGAAAGTGAAAGAGGAGCATGAAAAAGTTGGCTTAAAACTCAGCATTCAGAAAACTAAGATTGTGGCATCTGGTCCCATCACTTCATGGCGAGTAGATGGGGAAACAATGGAAACAGTGAGAGACTATTTTTCTGGGCTCCAAAATCACTACAGATGGTGACTGCAGCCATAAAATTAAAAGACACTTGCTCTTTGGAAGAAAAGTTATGACCAACCTAGACAGCATATTAAAAAGCAGAGACATTACTTTACCAACAAAGGTCCATCTAGTCAAGGCTATGGTTTTTCCAGTAGTCATGTATGGATGTGAGAGTTGGACTATAAAGAAAACTGAGCGCCAAAGAATTGATGCTTTTGAACTACGGTGTGAAGACTCTTGAGAGTCCCTTGGACTGCAAGGAGATCCAACCAGTCCATCCTAAAGGGAATCAGTCCTGAATATTCATTGGAAGGATTGATGCTGAAGCTGAAGCTCCAATACTTTGGCCACCTGATGTGAAGAACTGACTCAATGGAAAAGACCCTGATGCTGGGAAAGATTGAAGGCAGGAGGAGAAGGGGACGGCAGAGGATGAGATGGTTGGATGGCATCACTGACTCAGTGGACATGAGTTTGAGTAAACTCCGGGAGTTGGTCATGGACAGGGAGGCCTAGCGTGCTGCAGTCCATGGGGTCACAAAGAGTTGGACATGACTGAGTGACTGAATTGAACTGAACTGACCTGAAAGTTTATCAACTTCAAGTACATCGTCTGAGTTCTAAAAATGTA